TGTAGTGCTATAGTCGTCGTCGTTTGACCACTAAATATAAGGCGACTAAAGCGAGGGAAGAGAGAGATATTGCGAGAGCGACGAGAGAGCGATAGGGAGTGATAGAGAGAACCATAACTTTTATGTCACAACTACTTATCAAACAATTAATTCAATAATAACTCACTTTTTCTCGCTTTAGTCAACAATAAATGAAATACTATTGAAAAATCGACGGCAAATGGAAAGGCGTTTAATATATAAACACTTGAGAACAAAATAAGGAGAAAATAAGTGTTTTTGAACATAAAATTAGTGATGTTTTTGATGAAAAAAGTGATTTAATTTAAACGAAATATTCTATTATACAGTATATAATAATAATATATACATTGATAATGATTTCTCGTATTTTATTTGTTTGTTATTCATTTGTTATAATAATAATAAATCTATTGATGTGTTTTGTAAATACAGTACAGAATAATAATAAGCGTGTATTTCTCTCAATGAAAAATAATTAAATTATATTTTTAAATACAATATTTACAGTGAAATAATGTGCCGACAAATGTCTGTTTTCGAGGGACGGTTTGAGTCTATAATTGAGTCTATTATTTGTACACAATATATATATCTCTCAAAAATTATATATAATTCTTCGAGCAATAAATCAATTATGAAAAACACATGATTTCATTAAATTATAAACACAATCGGATTCGCGATTACAATAATATATAGAAATTAATGGAAATAATTTTGCTTTCGTATCAAAAAACAAGGAAATGTCAAAAATAATTCAATCTTTTTTTAAAATAAAAACTTTGAAAAATAAATGATTTAAATATAAATTACAAATTAATTAATAATTACGGTATAATTAAAACGACGGGAAAAATATAAAATCTAAGTTTGATTAATTCAAATCTCAATCAAAAAACACAAATCTTGACGAAAACATTCTCAAAATTGGTTTTAAAAACACAAACAGAAAACAATCGTTAAATAATTTGTTATAATTTTTCATTAAAAAAATTAACAAAAAAAACGCAAAATATAATTGAAAATAAATATTTTTTGATATCGAAACAAAAGAGCGAAATAATAATTAAAAAACAAATATATTTTTACTCATTTTAAATGATAAAACAAATGAATTATTATCGCAAAGAAATAACAAAACGAAATGTGATTTTTGTTGTGATAACACATAAACACAAAATCATAGGAATTGAACGTTTGGTCTCAAATCATACGACTAAACGATTCTCACAATCAGTCGTTCAACTGATTTAAGTAATTATTATTAAAACTTATTATTGAAACACTATTTGTTCACTGAAGTCATCTATTATTGAAATAAAATCTATATTTATTTCGTATGGAAACTAAGTGAAATATATTTCTATAAAAAAAAGTTTCTTATGATTCACACTAATTGTCACTAAAAAAAACTCATTCAAACTCAAAATCCAATATACATTTCGACACTAAAAAATACTATCGAAACATAAAAAATTGAGCGAAAAATTATTTCCTATTGTTTTTCATTAATGATTAAATCAAACGATGAGAAGAAACAAAACTAATAACTGAATAAACAAAAGACATGAATTGATGGCCAATACGATGACATCCAAACACATTGTATTTATGTTTCGCAATAGACTGCTATTGAAATCAATTGGCACTTAATTCCGATTCAATGAGTTTCTCGATTCGCATTAAGTCTGTAAACCAGTGGCCGACGTCCACATCCACTCTCTCGTAATGCCTTATAAACTGGTGTTCCTATCGATGCAAACCAATCAATCAGTACATTGTTGTCATCAATTGTATCACTCATACACTTACCAATAATTTCTTATATTTTGGTCGCTTTTTATAATCCTTTGTAAGACTATAAGAAAGATTATAAAAGAATTAGGTTTCAAATCAAACAGAAAATTAAAAAATATGTTTAATACCAGGATTTGACAAAACTGCACAAATTATGTGAGAATCCGCTCTCGGGTGGGAGAGAGGGCGGGTCCTCCTGAATGACTTTAGTGAGCACTTCGAAGTCGGTGTTGCACTCATGGTATGGGAACTTTCCGGTCGCCAACTCTACTAATGTTATGCCAAGACTCCAAACCTGCGGACAATTTACGCCATTTATTAGCAAACAGTGGTTTCACAAACCAATAGCTCTCAAAACTCACGTCAGCTCTGATATCATAGGAAGGGTTCGCAGAGTCGGGCGGATCTATGCGTTCGGGCTGTCGGTGGGAGAAGAGAGTAGAGACCAAATGTAAGACTCAATTCAAATAAATGCAACAAATTTCTAATATGAGATACAGACCGCCATATAAGCGGCACAACCGGCCGAACGGGTCTTGGCTTTGCTATCGACGAGTCGACCACTGATGCCAAAGTCGCACAGTTTGACCACTCCTTGATCGTTGATCAATATATTAGACGGTTTAATGTCTCGATGAATAACCCCGTGAGTATCCTTCAAATAATTCAACGCTTTTACTGTCTGTAAAAACCATTACATAAACAAACATTAGTCAATCAATATTCAATGAATGGTTATATCTTGCGAAAGACATGGACAGCCAATTGACTCACAGCTACAGATATTTTGCCTAAAATAGGCTCAGGAATGGGACACTTGAACTTCTTAAGCAATTTGTCAAAACAGGTGGTCATCAGTTCCATACAGATCCACACTTCGGTGTCTTTAATGAAGTAACCGTAACACTGGACTATATTAGGGCAGTCATGACAGGCCAACAATATGTCCAAATCCATTGTTATTCGTTTGTTCTCCTCTTTATTACCGCTTCGTCTCATTTGCTGTCAAAATTGAGTATACATTTGAATACACGGCTCAACGCAAATACAATGGCAAAGCGATGGCAAAGCGATGCCATACCTTAACGGCCACCACTTTGCCGGACGGCGTGTGACGCATCTTCACCACATGTCCGCACGAACCCGAACCCAATTCATCCACAAATGACAGGTCCACGTCTTGCGCTAAGTATGTCTGTCAAGTAAATCAATCAAATTACTTGTAAACCATATACTTGTCAATGAGATAATAGTGGACTCACTTTGCCATCGATGTTAAGAAGTGAATTGTTTTGTCTAAACATCTCATTGAGCTTTTGGTCGTCATTAGCGTTATTAAACTTATTAACAGTCATTGCGTTCGGTTTCGGGAATGGAATCGGTTTGACATTTCTGGAGGGACTTCCGGGACGTCCTGGCGATAGATTGTTCCCAATTATCACTAAAATCAACGAAAAATTAGACGACAATCAAAGAAAATAAATTAGTAAAACAGTCAATCGGTTCATGGATTGAGTCAATGCTCTACAAATCAAACTTACGATTTCTGGGTCGAGGTCTGGGACTAAGGCATTGAGCGTTGAGTGACTGCGAGCCGACGGCCGTGTTTTGGTCATTATTATTGCGGTTATTGGTTAACACGTGACTCAAATTCAACTGCAAATTGTTATTACTTTGGCGTTGAGTAGCGCTTAACGAATACTGACGGCGCGGGAACTGTTGAACGGGCGCTCCCGGCGTCCAACCCGGACCCACCCTATAGGAAGGGGTGGGCGGAGTGGGAGGCGTCTGGAGGGGCGGCGGCTGTGAACCAGTGGATGGCGACGACAACGACGACTGGTTAGTGGGCGGCGGAGGAGGCGGTGGTCTCCGGCTGTGATGGAGAGGACTGTTGGTCTGCGAGGAGTGAGTGGCGGCGCCGGCGGTCTGATTGTGAGCACCGTTTTGGCCGAACGACGAGTCGTTGTTCTCCAGATTCAGTCGTTGTCTTAAGTTTTGTAATTGTTTTTCAATTGAAGCCATCATTGCTTTCGGCGGCTAATCGATGGTTGATATTCTCAACCCTACGAGACGTCCACTAAATTATTGTATTAATTAATCAATGAATGAAACCATTAATGAAAACACAATTCAAATGGTGTTTAAGAGTGAGTGAGAAATTGGCCGTCGATTTGGGCTATTGTTTGTCAATACAAATGATTATTGGTTTTGATGATTGAAATGAAAGCCTATAATGAGATGTCTGTATGAATGGGTGTCTCAATGAATCGATGGATGAGTTGTAGTGACAATTAAAGCAGTATTGAAAACATGATTAGTATTGATGTGTTGTTGTTGTGGTTGTATTGACTGCATTGAAACCAAAACACAAACTATTGTTAGGATTGCGTCAAAACAAACCAATGGTTTGCATATATATGTAGTGCTAATGAATGGCAGAGCAAAACACGAGCCAATCGTTGGGCTATTAATCGCGATATTAATTGTGAACACTATTTATAATACAATTATTATAACTATTATTATTATAAATAAGACATTGATTTTTGAGTAATACTAATGATTATAATGAATACATTCACCACTCGTTTACTACTAATAAATACAATATATTTTTAATGCTATATTCACTGCATTTCAATACATGTATTGACGTCACGACTAGACTGACCATCAAATTCTAGCCCAAGGGAGGACACGGGGAAAGCGATATGTTTTCGTGTTTAAAATCATAAATATACTACAGTATTATTATACCATTGCTATATTATAACACTATAAAGAATAATGAAAGTGATTTATTCGTTTGTATTGTAAATATTTAAATAATTACTAAAAAACATTTTTAAACTTTTCTGTTAACTTTCATAAATGTTCTAAATGAAAAACAACTCAATCGAAAGTTATTTTATATTTTTAGCTAAAAAATATATTGAAAATGCAAAATATTTACTATTAAAATTATTAAAACATTCAAGATAGGACATTGTATAATCCTCCCCAGGTCTCGGGAGTACGGTGCCATAAAGGGTCCAAAGGGGGATTGTCCTCTCGAGGGGAGTACGTTTGGTCACCCTAGTCACGACTCATTCACACAATCATTGCACACAATTGCAGTAAATATGCGGACCATTCATATATCACGTTACGTACGCTTGTGCTACCGGTTATCAATGATCCCCATTTTAGTTATGTTAATTATTTGTACAAATTGCACATGTTCAATTTGTTATATTATTAACTATTATTGACTAGATTTAGGTAAAAAAGGAATTACATACATAGTATTTTTAAATTATATTATAACTACTTTGTAGAAACGATCATAGAGTTAGGTTAGGTATATTTGTAAATAAGTAAAACTTAAGTATTAATAAATTTCAACGCGACCGAGGTGTTAATGGTAGTCTAGCTTATTATATTGCATATTTAAATTACAATTTAATACTTTAATGCTTTGGTTAATTATAAAGTTGTTTTGAAAGCAATATAACTTGGTTTGAATGGCAATCGCAATATCGATCTAATGTGCAAAATATTGCAATTATTAGTGGCAATGAGTACTCATTAAACAACTCACCACTCGATCCATACAATGTGTTGTCTAAACATAATTAGATCCAAGTCTTCGTCCAAAGCCAGAGTCAATCGATAACCAGAAGAATCGATTCAATCGTTGATTTAATTACAATTTAAAAGCTTAACAAAAAAACTTTCGCATAAAACACGTGACGAGTGGCGACATCTGGTGTCACGTGTTTTCATAGCAAACACAACAAAACAGTTTGCATTTGATTACTGTATCGACGGATTGGGCCGACAATAGGTGTCCACGAATTGATCCCATCATCTGATCCAACCGTAAGACAGAGACATGTTTTTCCACATAAGTCTTGAGCACGAGATCCAATTGCATCCGCGATACTTCGGCGCTCAGCTGTTGGACACAGTGAGACAGAAGTTGTTCAACGAAGTGGAGGGCACGTGCACTGGGAAGCACGGCTTCGTCATAGCCGTCACCACAATCGACAACATCGGCGCCGGAGTCATACAGTCGGGCACCGGTTTCGTCACGTATCCCATCCGATACAAGGCTATCGTGTTTCGGCCCTTTAAGGGCGAAGTGTTGGACGGAGTGGTGACTCAAGTGAACAAAGTGGGCATCTTTACCGAAATGGGTCCGCTCTCGTGCTTCATCTCCAGACACTCCATCCCCGCCGACATGACATTCGACGCCAACTCTACGCCTCCCTGTTATAAGACCGCCGACGAGGATGTGGTCATCCAACAGGACGACGAGATTAGGCTCAAGATTGTCGGCACACGCATTGACGCCACCGATATCTTCGCCATCGGAACTCTTATGGATGACTTTCTCGGTCTCAACTGATTCACCACCACTTTCCCCGATTATGATCTCTCTCTCTCTCTCTCTCTCTCTCTCTC